GAAGCTGGGCTTATCTGTGTTTTTCCCCTCCGTCGTTAGTTCGCCCGCAGCTCGAGGTGGTGAGCGCTGCCCGTGCTGAGACGACTCATTATGATCACTCGATTCTCCCCCCTCCGCCCAGTGCTGCCCGACCTTCAAGAGATGGTTGAGGTCTGCGAGGTGTCGAATTCTAGGGTGCTCGCGCTCCTTCTTCTCTCCTCTTCGTCCTCCTCCTCATCATCACCATCATCATCACCATCATCATCACCATCATCACCATCCTCATCATCACCATCATCACCATCATACCTCTTCCCCGTAGGTTTTCTTGAGTTTTAGGAGTACAGGAGGTCGTGAAAGGGGAGGCTTGTCGTGCCTTGTCTCGCACAGTTTTCTCTCGTTGCTGCTGTTCGGCATCCTCAGTTGCGATCTGCTGTTTGGGCGCGCCTCCGCGCGCGCGGCCGCGACGCCAACGTGTGTGTATGCGTGTGATTGTGTGTGATTGTATGTGTGATTGCGCGCACGTCTGTGTGTGAGAGAGTTTGTGTGATTGCGTGATGTGTATACATATAACGGCGCACCGGGTCCGGGGGCCCGGGGCCGGGACCTCGACCACAAATGTGCACCCCGGGGGGCCCGGAGGCTCGTCGGGGCTTGCCGGAGGCCTCCCCAGTCAGACAAGACGGCCCAAGAAGCGCCCAAGACGGCCCAAGAAACTTCCAAGAGGCCTCCAAGAGGGCTCCGAGATGCTGAAGATGGCCTCCAGACGTCCAAGGACGCCCCCAAGAGGCCCCAAGAAGCCTCCAACATGCGTCCCAAGAGGGCCCCTAGACGCAAAAATTGGCCCATTCCCTTCGTAAAACGTACATTTTCAACAAAGTTGTCTTTTGGGCTTTCCGACGTTACAGGACGGCCCAAGAGGCGCCCAAGACCGCCCCAAGACGGCCCAAGAAGCTTCCAGAGGGCCCCAGGACAGCCCAAGAGGGCCCCAAGACGGCCCAAGAGGCGCCCAAGATGGCCCAAGAGGGCCCCAAGACGGGCCCAAGAGGGGGCCCAGAGGGGGACCACGAACCGCAAGCTCGAGCCTTCCGCCCCAAGAGGCCGCCAGGAGGCCCCCAGGAGGCCCCTCAAGAGGCCCCAGGAGACCCCAGACGTCCAAGGACGCCCCCAAGAGGCCCCAAGAAGCCTCCAACATGCGTCCCAAGAGGGCCCCTAGACGCAAGAATTGGCCCATTCCCTTCGTAAAACGTACATTTTCAACAAAGTCGCCTTTTGGGCTTTCCGACGTTACAGGACGGCCCAAGAGGCGCCCAAGACCGCCCCAAGACGGCCCAAGAAGTTTCCCAGAGGGCCCCAGGACAGCCCAAGAGGGCCCCAAGACGGCCCAAGAGGCGCCCAAGATGGCCCAAGAGGGCCCCAAGACGGGCCCAAGAGGGGGCCCAGAGGGGGACCACGAACCGCAAGCTCGAGCCTTCCGCCCCAAGAGGCCGCCAGGAGGCCCCCAGGAGGCCCCTCAAGAGGCCCCAGGAGACCCCAGACGTCCAAGGACGCCCCCAAGAGGCCCCAAGAAGCCTCCAACATGCGTCCCAAGAGGGCCCCTAGACGCAAAAATTGGCCCATTCCCTTCGTAAAACGTACATTTTTAACAAAGTCGCCTTTTGGGCTTTCCGACGTTACAGGACGGCCCAAGAGGCGCCCAAGACCGCCCCAAGACTTCCAAGAGGGCCCCAGGACAGCCCAGGGCCCCAAGACGGCCCAAGAGGCGCCCAAGATGGCCCAAGAGGGCCCCAAGACAGGCCCAAGAGGGCGCCCCGAGAGAACCCCACGTGGGCCCAAGGAGGCCCAAGAGGGACCCAAGAGAGCCCCAAGAGAGCCCCAACATCGGTCACGCGGAAGAGCTCTCGCGTGACCGATGTTGGGCCCCTCTGTGGGCTCCTCTTGGAGCTCCGAGAGGAGCCCAAGGTGGCCCCACGAGGGCCCCGACGAGACCCCAAGAGGACCCAAGCAGGCCCAAGAGGGACCCATGAGAGCCCCAGCATAGGTCACGCGGAAAAGCCCTCGCGTGACCGATGTTGGGCCCCTCTTTGGGCTCCTCTTGGAGCTCCAAGAGGGGCCCAAGATGGCCCCACGAGGGCCCCGAGGGAGCCCCACGTGGGCCCAAGGAGGCCCAAGGAACCCCAAGATGGCCCCAACATCGGTCACGCGGAAGAGCTCTCGCGTGACCGATGTTGGGCCCCCTCTTTGGGCTCCTCTTGGTGCTCCGAGAGGAGCCCAAGATGGCCCCACGAGGGCCCCGTCGAGACCCCAAGAGGGCCCAAGGAGGCCCAATAGGGCCCCAAGAGGGCCCCAACATCGGTCACGCGAAAGAGCTCTCGCGTGACCGATGTTGGGCCCCTCTGTGGGCTCCTCTTGGAGCTCCGAGAGGAGCCCAAGGTGGCCCCACGAGGGCCCCGACGAGCCCCAAGAGAGCCCAAGAGGGCCCCAAGAGCGCCCCAACATCTCCTCTCCTTCCTCCTCCTCCCTCCTCTGCATCTTCCTCCTCCTCCTCCTTCTCCTCCTCCTCCTCCTCCTCCTCCTCCTCCTCCTCCTTCTCCTCTCCAGGGGAATGAAAACCAGAGGATAGCTCACGGAGAGCCCAAGCACCCTCTTGTTGCATCCATCTTGGCTTCCAGATGGAGCCCAAGAAGGCCCCAAGGAGGCCCCTCAAGAGGCCCCAGGAGACCCCAGACGTCCAAGGACGCCCCCAAGACGCTTCGCGTCACCAATTTCTTCTCGCAACGATTCCTGGGTCTGTGACTCGACAGAACCTAAGCGCGCGCGAAGCGCGCGCGTGGGTCTAGTATAGGTGTGTATGTGTATGTGTGCCATCGGTGGTCTGGGGCTCACGGTCGTCACTGGTAGCGGCTTGCCCGGAGCCCGACGGGCACCCGCCGTCCCGTCTCGTGGCCCAGTCTTTGAGCAGCCTTGAGCACGCCCCTCGCCGCCTCCCACCTGGGCACTGCGTGCCCCGCCTAGGGTCCGACTGTTCCTTTGCGCCCGCACGGCGCTACCCCCCCCGTCCGGCGGGGCCGACTGTGGCTCGCCGGCCTTCTGCACTGCCAGCCCTCTGCGCGCCTGGCCGCGGTCACCACTGGCCGCCGCCCGCGCTTGCCCGCCTCTCTCCGCCCCTCCGCCCCGCCTGGCGGACCCTCCCTGCGGGGCCGCCACCCCCCGCCGCGCCGTTGCACCTCTTCGGTGCCTCCTCCGCCCCCCCGTGCACCCGCGGTGCTGACCCCCGCGCGCACTCGGCCTCCCCGGGTGCTGCGCTCGCCTTTCTGCCCGCTTGTCCTGTCCCCCCGCCGTGGGGCCTCTGGTCCAGCGGCGCCCGCGGCCGTGGCGCGCCGCGCTGCTTGCGCCTTGCTCCAGCGGCGGCCGCGGCGTTTGTCCTCCGGCGGGCTCGCCTTGCCGCTCGCCGCTGGCCCCCGCGCGCCTCCTCCTCCCCCGGTCGCCCCCGGTGCTGCCGCCCCGCTCGCCATGGGTGGAGGCCCCTGCGCCGCCGCCTGGCTGTTCGGCCCTCCCCTCTCCGGGGCCCGCTGCCTCGGCCGCTCCCCTGACTGGCCGGCCCTCCCTTCCCTGCATGGCTTTCAGGCCAGCCCGCAGTCCTCGTGCCGGCTTCGCCGGTTGGCCTGTTGGTTCGCTGCTCCGCCCACCGCGGTCCCTCACCCATCTTCTTGCGCCTCGCCTCGCAGGTCCATGGATCTGGGCGCTCCGTATTGCTCCGCCTGCGGGGTCCTTCCCAGCTACCCCCCGGCCCCTCTCCCGAGGTGGCCTTCTCTGGTCGGTCTGTCGCCTGGAAGGTGGGCTCGACCTCGGCGCTCAACCGCCTCGCTGTGCTGCCCATCCCCAGCACTGTCTGGGTGTTTCCCCCCCGCCTCGCGCGGCTGCCTCTGGCTGCTGCCCTCCCCGGCTGCCCCGCGGCCGCCGCTCCGCAGTCCTGGCGCTGCCCCGCCGCCGCCTGGCCCCGCTCTGAGCGGGCCCGGCCTCTGTCTCCCCCCTGCCCGCGCCGGGCGTTCCCTCTCTTCTTCACGTGCATCGCGGCGTAATTAACATTTGTATGTCCTGCATCTGCTTCATCCGCCAGCGTAGTCACTCTGCCTAGCCGCCGACGCAAAAAGTGTGTGTGTGTGTGTGTTTGTGTGTGTTTGTGTGTGGTTGTGTGTAGTTATGTGTGTTTGTGTTTGTGATGGTGTTTGTGTTGGTGCTTGTGTTTGTGTTTGTGCTTGTGCTTGTGTGTAAATTTGTGTGTATGTGTGTATGTGGGGGAGGGGCGCGCGCGTATGTGCGTGTGTGTGTGTGTGTGTTTGAGTGTGCATGTGCGTGTGTGTGTGCTTGAGTGTGCATGTGCGTGTGTGTGTGTGTGTTTGTGTGCGTGTGTGGGGGTGCGCGTGTGTGTATATATATGTGTGTTTGTGTATGTGCGTGTGTGTCTGTGTGTGTGTGGGCGAGTGTGTGCGCGTGTGTGTGTTTGTTGGTGTGTGTGTGCGTGTGTGCGTGTGTGTGTGTGTGTGTGTGTGTGTGTGTGTGTGTGTGTGTGTGTGTGTGTGTGTGTGTGTGTGTGTGTGTGTGTGTGTGTGTGTGTGTGTGTGTGTGTGTGTGTGTGTGTGTGTGTGTGTGTGTGTGTGTGGGGGGGGTCGTGTGTGTGTGTGTTGTGTGTATGTGTTTTTGTGCTTACCTGTGTGTGTGGGGGGTCGGGGGGGGTCGAAGATTGGGGCTGGCAGAGTTGCTCTGCCAGCAGGGTGTTGCAGACTCCTGCTCCACATCTTTCGGTGTGTGTTTGCATGGAGCGTGCATCTCGAAGACCCAGCTCCTCTTGATGTATTATTGATATACCCTGGCCTTTCGTAGCGGTCCTGGTGGCTGGACTGTTCAGGAACGGGCAGACCGAGAAAGCAACACCCACATAGTGAGGAGTGGGCAATGTGTATTCGTCTCATTTGCATGCTGATTCTCCGCATTTCGATCGTCGCGCTGTCCATGCCCAGGCTCGAACTTGATCTGCTACATCAGACTATGGGTCGTTGGCAGCTGAGCGGTGCATCACCGAGAACATCTCCAGCCCAATAAGTTGAAGATTATACAGCATCTCGGTCCTGCTGCTGGTGTTCGTCCCTCCGAGTCCGACTCCGGCAGGTGTTGCATGTGCAAGGAATCGTTTCGGGTGCGATCAGCGGGCGAAGAACGGCATACAGTGGGGCCCCCTGCCAAGAAGCACCCTGTTCGCCTCCAGGGTGCCCTGGGTTTCTTGGGTGTCGGTGGTTTTGCGATGGAAAGAGTGACGGTCCCACATCCCAAATCAATGGACGTCCTGGGGCCTCAGGGTTTGTTTTCTTGTAGAAGGTTTCTTGTGGACTTGCATCCGCTGTAGATAAAACTTACCGCCATCGGGGACGCCTGTCCCCACGGCGACTGGAAAGTCTATGGCCACCGGTTGCCTCCGTAGGAGTAGAAAATTTCCCAGCCGCCTTGGCACAGGCGCCCCGATGACAGAACAGTTTCTTTTATTGCGGGGCTCGAGGATGTACACCACCACCGCCGCCTCCCTCGCCCCCTCGCTCGCCCCCTCCCTCTCCCACGAAAGAGGAGAGGAAGAGGGGGGAAGAAGAGGGAGGATGACTGGTGGTGGTGGTGGTGGTGTATGTCTTTTGGGCCCGCATTGATAGAGATTATGCTTGATCTTCTGGCGCGCAACAGTCGTTGCCGGGACCCCCCCCTTCTCCAGGTGCGTAGTGTGGCGATCGCAGCGCACCCCCGCCCCGATTGCGCCGAACCCCTTACCCATGGCATCCCCGCCCGGGTAACGACCGTTGTTCGAAATAATCAGAAATCCATGTGTCGCAGCGCCGTTTGTTCCGACGCGCGGCCTTCAGTCTTGGGGAGGGCACCTCGGTTACCAGGGCAAACGACGCCTCGGACGCAGTGGGCTTGCCGTGGGCTTGCCGCGGTGCCAGCGTCGTCTACTAGGGCGCGGGCGCAGGGCTTGCCGTGGGTTTGCCGTGGTGTCGGCGTCGTGCACCTGGGCGCGTCGAAAATAATCGATGCGGCAACATGTCATAGCGTTCTTCGCCCGCTAGAATCGGGGATCCTTAAGACTCGAATTCGCCGGAACTCGGGTCTGCTGCGCTTTTTGAAGAGCCCGTCCTGGATTTTGACGGTCTTGTTTCCGTGGGATGCCTGCAGCGGTCACGTCAGATTTCAGGTTGGGCCTCGTCATTTTCCTGGCGGCCCCGGCAGGCCAACCTGAGTCCCCCGACTCCGAGTCTTGTGTCTCCCCGCCAATGTTAGTCACGCTGGGAGAAGGTAGCGCGGATGCAAAGGGGCCGGCCTCGTTGCGGAGGCCTGGAGAGCATCTGCGCTACAGTTTGCATGTGCGGTCGCGCGCTCGCCCGCCTGGAAAACGGCGCCCGCGGGAGTGCCGCAGGGCAAGCGCAGGCTGAGGAGGGTTTGGGGGGCGAGGGGGGGAGGACGAGGATGGGGAGGAGAATGGGCCCAGGATGGGGATGGGGGGAAGGGGGGGAAGAGGAAGGAGGAGGAGGAGGAGGAAGAGGAGGAGGAGGAGCAGCTAGATGAGGAGGAGAAGGAGGAAGAGGAGGAGGAGACAGCTGGATGAGGAGGAGGAGGAGGAGGGGGAGGAGGAGGAGGAGGAGGAGGAGGAGTACGAGGAGGAGGCGGAGGAGGAGGAATAGGAGGAGACGGAGAAGGAGGAGACGGAGAAGGAGCTGGAGTTGGAGGAGTTGGATGAGCAGGATGAGGAAGGGGGGGTAGAGTGGAAGTTCAGAGGCAAGGGCACTGGGGAATTGGAGTGGGGGAGGCGGGGACGTGCATTCATGAGCTGGCGGTTGTGTGCCACCAAGAGCACACGTACTTGCACTTCCGCTGTCGCGCCCTTTCCCCATTATGCATCCTCACTGCAGGAGGAGGAGGAGCAGGAGGAGGAGGAGGAGAAGAAGGATGAGGAGGAGGAGGAGGAGGGGGAGGAGCAGGATGAGCTGGAGGAGGAGCAGGAGGAGGAGGAGGAGGTGGAGCAGGAGGAGCAGAAGGAGGAGGAGGAGGAGCAGGAGGAGGAGGAGGAGGAGGAGGAGCAGGATAAGGAGGAGGAGGAGGAGGAGGAGGAGGAGCAGGAGGAGGAGGAGGAGCAGGAGGACCAGCGTGCGGCACGAATCGTGTAGCTGCCGACGGGAGCGTCTGTGCCACCTGGGGGCCTCCGCTCGCCCCGCGCCGGCCCGGACGGCCAGGCCCGCGACGCCCAGACGGGGCGTGCAGAACGCCACGCGTTCAGAATCGAGCTCGACGAAGGGCGAAGAGGGTCGGTGGTGGACAGAACCCCCACTATGACACGTCGATTAGTGAATCGTCCGTTTTCGGTACTCGAGGGGGCGACGCGGCCGTCATTTTCCAGGCTTGCGCCCGCCAGGTTTGGGCCCGAGGTCGTGTTCACTAAACCACGTTTTACTAAAGGGGGCTCTGTCCATCCCCGAAAGGGAGCATGACCACGTGCACTATGAGGAAAATCCTGGAGGCCTCGCGCGGCGCGTAATAGTTGTATTGTCTAGTCCACACGTCAGCTCCGTAAGCCATGGGTCTGCCACGCGAGGCCTCCAGGATTTTCCTCATAACGTGGACACGTGCAGCGCGGGGTGCCTGTCGTAGGACGGTCAGAACCGTTTGTGGCGTGTCGCGCCGCCGGTTCTGGCCCACCACGCTTCGGCGCGACAGGCTAAGCACTTCCCAGGTCCCAGGCGTCAACGCCCCGAGCGGTTCTCAGGTCCCCGCTCCACCGAGCGGAGCGACACGAGACCTTTCTGTGGTAGAGCATGCAGAACGTGTCGCAGGGGCCGCCGCCGCGACGCACTGTGCAACAGTTTCTGACCGTATGTCGGAAGCTGGAGCATATACATTACCAGTGGCGGGCTGTTTTTCGATCCCGGGAAGTTTTGGGGATCGGGGACGACGTCGGGGTGGTGTGGTGTACATTTGTTTCCCCGTCCTCCTGGGGAAACCACGAAACATGTATCAACCAGGATGCCGTCTACACCAGAATCCTCTTTCCTGTGCGAATTCCACTGCGACCAGAAAAAAAACATCGGTGTATAAAGTTCGGCTCCTTCTTATGTGCCACACTGCTGCCTCCCTTGCACGGGGCGCCGCTCTCGCGGCCAATGGCCGGAGAGGGAGATCGCCGTGGCCGTTGGGCGGCGATGAGTTGGGGGCGATCAGTGTGGGGGGCAGCGAGGGCTGCAACAAAGGAGGCCTTTGGGGCCCCTAGACGGGCCCTTCAGGGCCGTAGAGGGGGCCTTTCGGGCCAGAGAAGGTGACCTTTCTCCCCCCCCCCCCCCACGTCTACCAGAGCAGAACAGAACACGCCAGTAGGCGCGTGGGCAAAAGCAGACGTCTATCAAAGCTCGACGCGGGATCCATGAAAATGCCGCGAGCAGCCAGGCCAATCGCAGGAGGAGACAGAGGAGGAGGGGGAGGAGGAGGCCGTGGCTTCGCGCCCAAGGCCGTGGCTTGTGAGTGGGAGGGGCACCAGGAGCAGAGGAGGGGGGGGGCGCTCCTCGACAGCGGCGGGCCGCGGCCCGCCGCGGCGATCGCGGGGGCGGGGGCGGGAGGGGGCGAGGCAGAGGAGGAGCCTGAGGAAAACGGCAGAGGTGGAGCACAGAGGAGGAGGAGGAGGAGGAGGAGGAGGAGGGGAGGAGGGGAGGAGGAGGAGGAGGAGGAGGAGGAGGAGGAGGAGGAGGAGGAGGAGGAGGAGGAGGAGGTGGAGGAGGAGGAGGAGGAGGAGACGGAGTCGACGCAGGAGGACCCGGCTCTGCTTATAGATGCCCATGGCGTTTCACCGTTTTTAACTCGTCGGGTTGGGCATCACGTGTTGGTTTATCGTTGTCAGGCCCCAGCAAGAAAATTAAATGCGCAACACAACACACGATTCAGGTTTTGCGTTATTAGCTACCTTTGTTTTAAGCACTGTCAGATCACTTGGTTGCATTGTTGTACATCTCCGTCTACGACGTCCTCAGTTCCTTGTCCTGGCGTTCAGTCCTCAGCCCTCCGGCTCTCTCAGTCCGACTGCTCGCCGTCCTCGGAGCCCGTCCTGGGGCGTCGGGCCTCTGGGCCTGATGGCCGATTGCCCCTCTTGGGCCCGTCGGGCCTTCAGGCCTGTTTCGGGCCGGGGCCGGTGTTAAAGAGTTATTAGCTCTGAGAGGGGCAACGTCGGCATAAACGAGAAAACGGGGATGAAGACAGAAGGGAGGACATGGAACCGCCTTCGACCAGAAATCAAGCAATGTGCAAAAATGAGGATCCACAGCGACGGGCCTAAAAACTCTAAAACAAGGGAGCTAACCACGCTAAAAGGGGCGTCGCGTCTTCTTTTCTTGCGTTTTTAGTTTGTCAAGAACCCCGAAGTGCAAAGCGGCAAAGACAACAAAAGACGCCCAGGGCGCTTCTTAGAAGAAGCAAGAAAAAGGAGGAGGAGGAGGAGGAGGAGGAGGAGGAGGAGGAGGAGGAGCCAGAGGAGCCAGAGGAGCCAGAGGAGAAGGAGGAGGAGGGAGGAGAGGAGGAGGAGGAGGAGGAGGAGGAGGAGGAGGGGGAGGAGGAGGAGGAGGCGGGGGAGGAGGGGGAGGAGGAGGAGGAGGAGGGGAGGGAGGAGGCGGAGGAGGAGGAGGACGAGGAGGGGGAGGAGGAGGAGGAGAAAGATGAGCCAGACGAGCTGGGAGGAGGATTCTGAGGAGGATGGCGAAGGACGAGGGCAGAGGAGGGAGGAGGAAGAGGAGGAGACGAGGAGGGCAGAGCAGAAGCAGGCGCGGGGGAGGAGCGCACGGGGGTTCTCTCGCCGGATCGGGGCGCGCCGGGGCCGACCGCCAGACAAGAGCCAGCTGGACATGACCTTCGACGAGCGGCAGCAGGCGGGCGGGGATGGGGCTCACGACGAAGGCGGCACACATACGACCCTGCGGCGGTGCTCTCCATGGCCGGCGACGACGGCGAGCACGGCGACGACGGTGACGCGCACGACGGCGGCGTTCCGTGATCGCCGGCGGCGGCGACGACGACAGCGACGACGGCGACGGTGCACGGCGGCGGCGACGACGCTCCGCGGTCGACGACGGCGCCGGCGTCGGCGTCCTCGTCTCCGGGCTTCTTCAGAGCCAGCACTGCGGGGCGCACAGGCCCAGGGCGCAAGGCGTCGACCCCTCGTCGCCCAGGCGTCGCCGGCGGGGCGGGGGCAGTCTCGGATCCAGTGTTTGGCCTGTCTTGGGGCCCTCCTGGACCGTCATTGGCTGTCCTCGCCATCAGCCAGGGCACCGTTTCTGACCACGGGGCGAGGAGTGCAGACGCTTCTCTCTCTTCCTCTCCCCTCACTCCTCCATCATTTCTCCGCGTCGCCCCTCCTTCCTTCACTGATCCCCCCTCCTCCCATGTCACATCCTCTCTCCGCCCACCTCCCTACTCTTCCCCCTCTTCCTCCTGCCTCCCCCCTGCCCCCTTTCTCCCTGTCCGCTGGCCTAGACTCGGGTAACTCGTGCTCGGGTTTAGTGCCTCGGGCAGTGCACCAGATTTCGGTGTAGCTTTGGGGCCAGCGTCCCCAGGCGTTTTGGATCCTCAATCTGAGGATAGCCTCTGGGCCTCTGAATGTCTAGCTAATGGACGAACTTGGCCCCCACGGAGTGTTTCTTTCTTTCTTTCTTCCCTTTCTCCCTGTCTCCCTCTCTCCCTCCTCCTTCCCCCCTCTCCCCTCCCCCCTCCCTCCCACCTCCCCCCGCAGGAGGGCGCCAGCTGCACGTCTGCCCCCCACCTCGGCCATGCCAAGCCTGGGCCCAGGCTCCGCGCAGGTGCTTCCAGAGGCTGCACTCCCCGATCCTCATCCTCCTCCCTATCCTCCTCCTCCTCCATCCTCCCTCCCTCCTCCTCCTCCTCCTTCCTCCTCCTCCTCCTCCTCCTCCTCCTCCTCCTCCTCAACTCCTCCTCCCCGCGCAGGTGCTTCCAGAGGCTGCACTCCCCGATCCTGGGCCCGTGGTGGGCCGTGCCGCGATCGGCGCGCGATGAGCCGCCGGGACGCTGCCGTGCGGCGCCGTTTCGTGCTTTCGGACAAGGCCCGCGGCTCCTCGGGCCCCCCACGGGTCCTCCGGAGGCTCTGCTCCTCGAGCTGCTTGGGGGTCCGTGGCGCTGGCTTCCCCTTGCCCCGCAGCGGGCGCGGAGGCCGCCCACGGCGCGCGCAAGGCGGGGGGCGGGCCAGGGCTCGTTTCGATTCCTCCGACTCGGATGGCTTCCGATTCCGACTCGATGCGATTTCGGATTCCGATTTGGGTTCCGCTTCCCCCCATATGGAGGCCTACCAGCCTGCCCTCGTCTGCCGATTCGACGTTTCCCGACTCGGCTGCCGACTTCCGCCGATCCGATTCATGCCGATCGCCGATCCGACTTCTCGATGGGCTCTCCTG